TGGCCGGCTCTACCAAAATACCCATCTGGTTGACGAGATGTCCAAGGAAGTTCACCTCACGCAACCAGAACTCACACTTGGAGAACTTTGCGAAAAGTCTCTCCCTCCTCAAAATCTCTAGCACCTCTCTCAGATTCTCCTCTTGCTGCTCCTGAGTCTTGGAATACACCAAGATATCATCTATGAATACTATTACAGACCGATCCAACATCGGCCTGCACACGCGGTTCATGAGATCCATGAACGCTGCTAGAGCGTTGGTGATCCCAAACGACATCACCAGGAACTCATAATAACCACATCGGGTCCTGAAAGCAGTCTTCTGCACATCCTCGCCTCTGAATCGCATCTGATGATACCCGGAAAGTAAATCGATCTTGGAAAACCAAGACGCTCCCTGCAGTTGATCAAACAAATCATCTATCCTCAGAAGTGGGTAACGGTTCTTCACCGTGACCTTATTCAGCTCTCGGTAATCTATACACATACGATGGGACCTGTCCTTTTTCTTTACAAAAAAAATCGGTGCACCCTAGGGCGAACTGCTCGGCCTGATAAAACCCTTGTCTAGCAGCTCTTGTAGCTGCGTAGATAACTCCTGCATCTTTGGGGGAGCCAATCGATACGGTGCCTTGTCTATCGGAGCCGCACTAGGGATTAGGTCAATCCCGAACTCAACCTGCCTCTCAGGAGGTATTCCCGGAAAATCCTCAGGAAATACATCTAGGTAGTCCCGTAACACCGGAACATCATCAACTGTCGTCTTACCCTTCTCCCGGGCATCTAGAACATAGGCAACATAACCGACACAACCCTGCTGAAAATAACGCCTTGCTCTTGCCGCTGAACACAAAACCAGTCCGCACTGTGGCCTCTCGCCCTGAATCACCAACTCTCCCCCAATGGGAGTGCAAACTCTCACTAACTGCAACTCATAATCTATCACCGCCCCATTGGGGCTCAGCCAATCCATGCCTACTATAACCTTATTCCCTCGTAGGGGAATACAGACCAAGTCCACTGAAAACCGCTCATCGAATAACTGTAGGGAACATCCTCTGTGTACCCTTGAGACCCTAATGGTCCGATCAGCTGCTATCTCAATCTCAAGTGGACAATCTAGCTCTCCAAGAGCTCTGCTAAACCTCTTGCTAAGTGCAAGAGAGACGAATGATCGGGTAGCCCCCGAATCAAACAATATTGTAGCTGAAATGTCGTTCACTGAGAACGACCCTATACACAACATATAACCATAAGAAACAATCAATAATAAATGCAGAGATAAGGGAAATATACATACCCGTCACTACGTCAGGAGTCGCTTGCACGTTCTCTGCTGTCAGCTGAAATGCCCTACTCTTTGCCACCGGCGTCTCAGCTCGGCCCTGACGGCCATCTGTAATCCTCAAAGTAGCTGGAGCAGGTGCTGACACCTTTCCTGCAACAGCTAAACTCGGACACTGGGACTTTTTATGTCCCCTCTGATTGTAATGGAAGCAATTCAGATCTGATGCCGCAACAGTGGCAGTAGTGGCTGTACAATCTCTGCTCATATGCCCAGTCCGACCGCACTTGTAGGAGCCGGCACTCCTTACCTTGCACGCCCCATCATCGAATCTGCCACACTTACCATACCGAGCATGGCTCTGCTGACTCCTAGCTCTGTGATCTAAACCCTTGGACTTTTTGCCCGCACTTCCTGTACCTGGAGCCGCCTCCGACTTCCTCTTTCTCTCCATCTCAAGGTCAGTCTCTCTCTCTCTCTCTCTCTCTCTCTCTCTCTCTATTGAGCCCTAGCAATCATGTCATCCAGCGTTTTACAGCTGGACCGACTCACAAACTGGTAGATATCACTCCACAACATCTCATGATAACGAGCCTTCTTCATTTCCTCATCAGCCGCATACTGAGGAACAAGAAGAACCCTCTCCCTGAACTTGGCGGTAATATCCGCCACTGTCTCTGTAGTCTGGGTAAGATCCTGAAACTCGCGTGCTAACTGCTACACCTCAATAACCGGTGCGAACTCGGCTCTGAATCCGGTAGTAAAGTCTGCCCAGGTCATGGCATCCAAAGCTGTGTCATCCCCGATGGCATGACCAATCTCCTCCCACCAATCCCGTGCCCTATACTTTAGAAGACAGGATGCCAATCTGACCTTGTCCCCCCCAGGACATCTGCTAGTGCGGAAAGCATTGGCCACATCTGCCAACCATCTGGTGCTCGCTATGGGGTCCTGTGCCCCGTGATAATCCGGAGCCCCGCATGCCTGGAACTCCGTAAAAGGAAGCGTGCACGACCCCATCATGGCCGCCACCTCAGCACGGAAGGTGCTCAACCTCTCGTCCATCATCTCTAAGACACCCTCCTTGATCGAACCGAAGATCACAGGAGTCTGCTCAAGTATCGTGCGAGTAATCTCTGAAGAGATAAACTCCTAGTCTGCTCATCCAACTGCCCGACCTCCGGGCCTGATCCTGATCCCCTTCCGGCACCTGAACTTCCCACTGCTGGTCTAGGGCATAATACCACCATTCTGAAACACAACATAATAAACGTCAAGAACACTGATATATCTCGAGGAATCACTACTACCACAAGTTTCCTGGTCTTATCTCGGCTTTCCTTGATTCGAGTACGGATCCTCTGCTTCCAGTAGTATGGTCCCATACTACCTTCCACATCTATCCGTACTTTCCTCAAGTACTGCTTTGACTCCACCAAGTCACTAATACTGCTAATAATCTCTACTACTCCCATCCTAGGCTTGCCCTAGTGAATTCTCTGACTATACCCGATCCATTCCTCAGCTGCTGAAAGCCTCCTTGTGATGCCAATTAGCCATCACCTGAATACCATCACATGCGGCAAGGCTCACATAATCCTTCAAGTAAAAGACTCGTCCCTACAACGGTTAGACTCAGACAAGAGCTGCGCAATAGGTCTAAGTCTAGCACTCTAAGATTATTCAACCCTATTCACATGTGACGTGACGCATTCACCTAATGGCTAACTCCCATCACTTAGATTCCCACAAAGCACAAAGCAAGCAACATTCAGACATAAGAGACTACTCAGGCAATTCTATCCTCATAATGGGAAACTGTACTAGCATACGATGCTAAGCTCATGTTATCAGGCATAACCTAAATAGGCTATCCTACTACTGACTACTCAATGATAGCATACAATTCTTATAAAGCTGAGACACATAAAATAGACATATAAGGCATCCTCCTAGATCCTTAGTCCTATACTAGCATGTTGTTCTACTGAAACTGAAATTGAAACTCAACATTAACTGATACATACTGTTGTATGGGTAATTTGGGAGTACTTAGGCCCCGTTTGATAGTTGCTGACTGAGAAAGTGCTGACTGGGAAATGTCTGTCTGGGTAAGAAATCCTGACTGAGTAAGAGATGTTGTTGTTTGATTGTACATCTGACTGAATGTGCTGAGTGATGAAAAATGACCATTTTACCCTGCTGTTATATATAGTGATGGATTAAGTTGCTGAATAATTATAAAAACATACATATTGTCATACAAAATGTAAATTACACACAAATAAAAAATGTCATACAAAATGTAAATTAAACATAAATCATTTAATATCCAAATAAAACATAATGAAATTTAAAATAACATAATAATTTAATGTAAAGTAGGTGAAAGTAGTCGATTTGCAATCTGATCACGCAAAACACGCATATATTCAACGGCTTCTGGACCCCATTCTATGCCTTGTATGTTTTCTCTATCAATTCCTCCACCTTGGACGTCAGTAGTAACCATAGTGTCCTCCTCAAAATTTCTAAACAAGTCATCTTCTATATTGTATTTCCTTATAAAATTATGGACCGCAACACAAGCAATGACTATGTCTCTTTGCACTGTAAAAGGATAAGGAGCCATTTGTTTTAAGATTGGAAATCTCGCTTTCAATACACCATAAGCATGCTCAATAACATTTCTAAGTTGTGCATGAGCATGATTGAACCTTTCTTCTCTAGTTAAAGGTCCGCCTCTTCGAAAATCGGCTAACCAATACCTAGTATTGCGGTATGGAGCCATAAATCCACGAGTGTTTGTATATGCGGCATCACAAAGGTAATATTTATCTGCAAATGAATGTGACACATTATATAATGACACATTATATAAAGAAGATAGATAATAAAAATTATATAAAGATTACAAACCTGGTGGAGGAAATGGAAATCCAGAAGTCGAATTAAATACAACTTCTTTCAAAACTCTTGAATCATGTGCTATACCCTCCCATCCAGCCCAAACAAATGTGAATATCATATCAAAATCACAAATTCGTATTACATTTTGAAAACATTCTCCTTTTCCTCTTCCTCTATAACGAGTTTGTTGATCAACAGGTATAACCGCATGTACAAGAGTTCCATCTAATGCACCTATTGCTCCGGAAAAAATATTTTTTAACCGTCTATGTCGTTCCGAGTTATGTCTTGTTGGATTAGGAGTTGTTGGTACTATAATTTCGTTTGCAAAATACATCATTGCTGTTAGGACCTCGTGAAAACATTGATGAATCGTTTGTGTGGAGTGATGAAATCTTCCCTTAACCGCGCGAAAACGTTCATTATGTCCTATAACATGTAAGAATACAGCCATCTTCTCTTCAATGCTTATTGTCCTACTAGCTTGCAACCAGTTTTTTTGGGTAAAGTGGTTGCATAATAAAGCAAATGCCTCTTGTGTAAGACGCATCATATCGAAACATTGTGTAGGGTCTCCGTACATCAAATCTTGCGTATACGCATACCCGCTTGAATCGTTATCTCTAATTGTATGGGTTCTAATTAGCCTGCGCCGGTTTGACCTCAACCAATAAAACACAAGTAAAAGAAAAGCTTAACTTCACCATCAGAAACCATACTTGACCTGTTACAAACAATTAGGTAACATGTTAAAGTAACCAAACTTTCCTAAGTAACAAAAGTCATATAACAAAAAACTAGTAAATAACAAAAGTCATATTCAATATCTAAACATCATCCAAAGTAACAAAAGTCATCAAACGTAGGATCCAAAATTAACAAAAACTAGTACACATCATCCAAAGTAACATCCAAAAAAGTCAGCAAACATAGCATCTAAATGTCATGCAAGTAACAAAAAGTCATGCAACAAAAAAACTAGTAAATATCATCAAAGATAACCATACTTCCTACCCGCACCCATCACCCACGACTCACAACTAGTATGTGAAAGTCGTAACCAAACTTTCCTAACATCAGCACTTTCACCAAATAACAAAAGAGCGGTTTTGTGTCTTTCATCTTCTTCTCCCCATTCCATTTTGTTCAATTTCTCCATACATGCATCAACATCCTTATCCATTTCACTTTTTCAATTCTTTCGTTTTTTTCCACTAATGACCTTGCAAGCTTGACAATCTCATCCTCAACTTCTAAAGCCCTTGCGTCTCTTTTTTTTCCACCAACTCTTTTTTTTTTTCCACCAACTTCCTTATTTTTTGAACGCCCTGAAGATTCTTGACTTGCACCTACGTGTTGTGTTGAGGTTTCCATTTGAACATCATCATCAAAATCATGGGCACTAAACTCTTCTACTGGACGAGGGAGTGTAGAAGATGGCCCCCAACTTTGAAATCCGGTTGAGGTCGACCCTTCGAATAGTTGGGTGCAAAGATCAGGGAACAACAAAGGTTTAGTTTTCAATGACAACACGAACTTGTTCAACTGTTACAATTTTTATAAATATTAGGATATGTTATAAATATAATCATAATAATATTTATTATAAAAATATTACCTTCCCCTCTTCTTTCCATTGTTCATCGGTCAAATTAAATTTATTTTTTATAGGATCATATATATTGTCGGTTTTGTTTTTGAGTTTCACCCAAGCAACATACTTTGATTTGTAGTAGTCAAAGTGATTTCTCATTTGCTTCTGATCAACCTCTTTACCGTGTTCGTTTATCAATTTTTCGCGTATTGTCTTCCATGAACTTGTCTTAAGTCCGGAACCCTCACGACCATTAGTGGTTAGTTCATGGATACACGCATCAAGAAAAGTTTTGTCCTCATTCTCGTTCCAAACCAACATCCTAAAACGTTAATAGTTAAAATGATTTATCATAAAATTTATCATGATCAAAAACAATTTTAAATATAAAAAAATTATTTTGTACCAATAAAAGCGTAAAATCTGTGGAATTGTGATATGTCTATTACCTATTATAACAGTGCATAGGATTCGTAATGAGATTGGAAATGCTATGAAGCTAGACAATCATGTTGATTCCATAAAACATGAAACTCTCAAGAATTGAAATAGGCATGGTATATATGATCTTTGTACACCTTCTCAAGCTCAAGTATTTTAAAGACAATATCTTTTTTTCTTTTAATTTACCAAAAAACACAAAAACAAAGCAAACAATATGTATATAATGGCAAATAAAAGATCCATCACACAGCAATGCCACTACTACCTTGTAGTGGCAGTAATAAACATCCCCAGCAGTAGGAAAAAAAAAAAGAGGATGTAATATTCTAGCAAATAACAGTTCAAAATTCAAAAGAAAATTTGTCCATGAAATTGATTACAAATAACACTTCAAAAAAAAAGAGAATGTAAACAAATCTGGACCCACTTAAATCAATGAAATTGATTACAAATAATGTTCTATATGGAACATATCTACTGCATCCATGCTTTATATGAAGGGATATACACAATCAATTGCATAAAAGACAAGAATTTTATTCAATTTCACCGATTGATTGATCGATCCCAAACCCAAAATTAGTGTTCCCAAACCCCAAATCGGATTCTAAAATTATAGATTATACATAAAAGGATAATACTCTTACCTGTTTGTGATGAATTGCAGTGATTGAATGACAAGAAATCGAAATATCAATCGGAGATGGCGAGCTCTTGTTGGCCGGCGAGATGGTGGCTACACGGTGGCGAGATGGCAGCGACCGAGGTGATGGCAGGCAGTGACTTGCAAGATGCGATCGAGATGGAGGAGCGACGCCGCTGCTAGATGGAAACGACTTGGAGCTGTCGGCGTTTTTTTTTAGGTCGTGAGAGTGAAACGATGGAAGAAAGAATTAAGGGGCATGATTGTCTTTATTCCCAGTCAGCATATGTTACAAGGCTGACCGGGTAAGACTGTTGAGTCAGCTATCTTTCCGAGAAAGCACACCATCAAACATCTAAGGTCTGACCGGGTCAGCCCAATTAGCTGACTCAAACCGAGTCAGATGGTATCAAACGCACCCTTACTTGATCTCGGTTGATTTCATGCACCACACACTTTTCTCTTTTCAAAGTTCTTATCTTTCTAAAATTCATTTTACTTTTCTAAAACTCTTTTCTTTCGAAAAACATTTTACCATTTCCTTAGTTTGAGTTCAGACACACCCGGAAGTGTGCCTGAATCCCTCAAACCAAGGCTCTGATGCCAACTTGAAACATCCCAAAA